TCTTTCTCAATTTGTTCATTGTTGGTGTATAGAAAGGTTACTGATTTTTATAAGTTGATTTTATACCTTCTACATTGCTTTAGGTGTTTATGGTGTCTAGGAATTTTTGGGTAGTTTTTTGGGTCTTTGAGGTATAGGATCTTGTCATCTACAAATAGGGACACTTTGACAGTTTCTTTACCTATTTGTATTCCTCTTATTACTTCTTATTGCCTTGTTGTGCTGGCTAGGATTCCAGGACTGTGTTGGATAGTAGTGGGGAGAGTGGGCACCCTTGTCTCATTCCTGATTTGAGGGGAAATGTTTGTAATTTTTCTCTATTAAATATGATGTTGGCTATAAGTTTGTCATATATAGCCTTTACAATGTTGAGATACATTCCTTCTATTCCTAAGTTTTCTTAAAGCTTGTGTCATGAAGTGGTATTGAATCTTATCAAGGGCTTTTTCTGCATCTATTGAGATGATCATGTGGTTTTTGTCTTTGCTTCTGTTAACGTGCTGTATTACATTTATTAAGTTGCATATGTTGAACCACCCATGCATCCCTGGGATGAAGCTGACCTGGTCATGGTGAATGATCCGTCTGATATGTTGTTGAATTTGGTTTGCCATTATTTTATTGAGAATTTTTGAATCTATGTTTGTTAAGGAGATTGGCCTGTATTTGTTAAGGAGATTGGCCTGTAGTTCTCCTTTTTTGGATGTGTCTTTGTCTGGTTTGAGGGTGAATGTAATACTGGCTTCATAGAGTGAGTTAGGCAGTGTTCCATCCTTTTATGTTTTGTGGGAAAGTTTAAGGAGAGTTGGTATTAGTTCTTCTTTAAAGGTCTAATAGAATATAGAATTCTGCAGAGAAGCCATCAGGTCCTGGACTTTTCTTTTTTGGGAGACTCTTTATTGCTGCTTCACTTTCATTTCATGTATGTATCTGTTTAGGTGGTTAGTATCCTCTTGGTTCAGATTTGGATGGTCATAAGTATCTAGAAATTTTTCCATTTCTTCACAATTTTCAAATTTATTGGAATATAGGTTCTCAAAGTAGTCTCTGATGAGTCCCTAGATTTCCTTGGTGTTTGTTGTTATCTCCTCTTTGTGTTCCTGATTTTACTGATTTGTGTCTTTTCCCTCTTCAATTTAGTCAGATTTGCCAGGGGTTTGTCAATCTTGTTTATTTTTTCAAAGCACCAGCTTTTTGTTTCTTTGATTCTTTGTATGGTTTTTCTGGTCTCATTTCATTCATTTCAGCCCATATTTTTTATTATTTCTCTCCTTCTGCTTAATTTGGATTTTGCCTGTTCTTGTTTTTCTAGGAGTTTGAGATGTAGCATTAGGTCATTGATTTGAGATCTTTCTGTCCTTTTAATATATGCACTCGTGGCTGTAAACTTTCCTCTTAGGACTGCCTTTGCTCTTTCCCATAGGTTCTGGGAGGTTGTGTTTTCATTTTCATTAATTTCTAGGAACCTTTAATTTCCTCTTTTATTTCATCTATGGCCCAGTGATCATTCAGTAATGTGTTATTCAGCTTCTAATTGTTTGCATATTTTCTGCTGTTGTTTTTGTTGTTAAGTTCTTGTTTTAATGCATTGTGATCAGATAGAGTGCAGGAGATTATTTCTATTTTCTTATATTTTCTGTGGCTTGCTTTGTGCCCCAAGATGTGATCAGTTTTGGAGAAAGTTCCATGGGCTGCTGAGAAGAATGTATATTGTACAGATGTTGGATGAAATATTCTGTAGACATCAGTTAGGTCCATTTGATCTGTGGTGTGATTTAGTTCTACAATTTCTTTGAGTTCTTGTTTGGATGACCTATGTATTGGTGATGGCTTGTATTAAAGTATCCCACTACTACTGTGTTGGAGTCTATATGTGCTTTTAAGTCCTTTAGGATATGTTTGATGAAATTGGGTATACTGACATTGGGTGCATATAGGTTGATGATTGTTATTTCCTTTTTGTGTTTTTCCCTTTTTATTAGTATGAAGTGTCCTTCTTTATCTTGTTTGATCAATGTATGTTCAAAGTCTTTCTTTAATTTCTATTTTATCTTCAAGTTCTGAGATTCTGTGTTCCACTTGTTCTAGTCTGGTGGGGTGGCCTTGCACTGTGTTTTGTGTTTCTGTTTGATTCTTTTTTCCAAGGTTTTGCATATCTTGGGACACTTCCTCTTTAATATTTTTTATTCTCATCTTTAATTCATCTGTCTATTTATAGCGTTGTATGTTTCACTTTGGTATTTATTTAAGGCAGCTCTGAATTCATTTATTTGCTTCTCTGTCTTCTCATGTTCCTTATTTTTGGTGTCTTGAAATTTTTTGAGTGTATCTTGTACAAATTATTAATCACATCTAGTATCTTGTCCATCAAATTCTCAATGATTTCCCGCAAGATTTCTTCTTTGAGGGTGTTTTTGGGCATCGCTGGGTTTCTTAGTGTTGCTTATCATTGTTTTGTTGGGGTCAGAAACTGAGTGTCTGTTTTCTTCATTTCCCTCTGAGTATTGTATTAAATTATTTTTTTGAGGCGACTGGTTTCCTTACTTTCTTCTTCCCATATCTCCACTTGGTACCATACAACTATGTTCTTGATAGTCTAGTTGATGGTGTTAGTTGCCTGCTCTCTTTCCCTTGATTTAATTTTTGTGTTGTGGCTCTCTTGGTAGCTAGGCTGGTGTGCTATTTTTGTTCCTGGTCCTGAGGTGTAATTTAGCAATAACTATTTCACAGGGTCAATACCTGACCAGTTGTTTATATGTTGTATAGAAGACCCCTTGGTGGTAATATCTATAAATGGTGTGAGTTTGGGGCTAATGTTTGTTAGGCTAGCTATAGTAATTTGGTGAATTGGTTAGGGTAGCATTAAAAGGGGTGACAGGAAGTTGGGTTGGTGAGTGGGGGAAGTGCTGTGGGGACTACTGGGTTTTGTGGCTCTTGTGTGTGTTTGGGTGTATTTCTGTTGTTATAGTGTAGTGTGTTTTTTGTCAGAGATTGCAGGGGATTGGGGTTGTGTAAAGTTGGTATAGTAGGTTGATCAGCAGGTGGTGATTGTATGGGAGGGTGGAGTAGTCTGGTGACAGGTTGGGGGAAAATGGGAAGGGATGGTGAGGGCAGGGGGCAAGAGTGGATGAGAAGGGGCAGAAGGAGTAGTTGGGAAGGAGAGCAGTGGATTTTAGCATAGGAGAAGGAGGGAGAGTGAAGGTGGTGAGAGTAAGGATGAGAAGATAGTGATGGTAAAGTTGATTATACAGAAAGAAAAAAAGAAAATTGGAATAAAAATTTTAAAAACCTCAATAATATAACAAACAAATAAACAAAAAAAATACAAAACTCCAGGTTCAGGAACAATAGAATTTCAGTCTTAGTTTAAATTCTGGAGTTACTCTTCAGCATCCAGTCCTGGTATTGGCATATAAAGAGAAGCTGTGATGTAATGTCAGCAGGTGATTGACTTGTGAATAGTGTTTTGTTCTTCTGTCTACCAGTTTAATTGAAACTGTGAGTGGCAGTAGGTTTGCCAGATCATGCAGGGTTGTCAGAAGGTTTTGTTTTCTCCAACTGATAGCAGCGTTATCCTTCAGGTACAGCTTTTTGGTCAGCTCCTCCCCCAGTGAGGTGGGACAGTTGAATTTGAATGCTTCTGGAGATCAGCTCTGGGATTCACTACCTACTCTGCCTTGGAGGTGGCTTATCGCTGTGTTTGTTTACTGAGAGTTTAGTTGTTTGCTCCTCCCCCTTTCTGTGTAGCAGGTTCATTGTGCCACTGCTGCCTCCGCTGTCTGTGCTAAATTACAGTTCACTGTTTGTTTTTCAGTTTTGCAGAGCAGTTCGGTTTTGGATGCTGCTCTCTGGTTCTGGAGATGAGTTCTCATCTACTCCCTTCCCTACTTTGGGAAGTGGCTTATCACCCCTCTGCTTTTAGCATTCGCTGCCTGTCTTGTGTTTATTTACTGAGAGTTCAGGTGCTTAGTTTAGCTCCTTGCCTGCCCCCTTTCTCCAGTGCAAGTTCAGTGTTCCATCCACCCCCTCTGCTGTCTGTGTTTGATTACTGTTTGCTATTTGTTTTCCAGTTTTGTTGGGGGGATTCAGTCTGCCTAAGGGCTGGGCTGGTTTATGTTCCCCAGGGTGGTTAGGGGATTCCAGCATGGTGTGTGGTGGTCACTTGTTTGTTCTGTCAATTGATGCAAAGGCAGGTTTGGAGCTCCTGGCAGCCGCGGCAAGAAAAAATGACTCCTAATTTTGTTCGTGCAGCATGGTGTGGGGGAGGCTTTCAACGGGTTAGGTGTGTTGAAAGTTTGATTCTGGTTGATGCTTTATTTCCACTTGATGGAGGAAGGAGAAGAGAAGGAAAGAAAAGAACAGAAAAGAAAAAAAAAATCACCATGGTGAAGGAGGGTTTCCCTGGGGCTGGACCCACCTAGCTGGCCGTGTCACAGGTCACAGCTATTCAGTGCAATTATGGGCTGATTTAAGGGTCAGATGTTTAATTTTTTCCTGCACTTAATGTGATGGCAGTTATTATTTTGACTAGATGCAGTCTGAATTGCCAAAGTGTGGCTTCAATATCTCAGGGAAGTTTTTGGAGTCACGGAGCTTAGGCTTTCTGCTTCTGTATCCTAGTCACTGTCTTTGATCCTCACAGGTAAACAGATTTTTAAATCCGTATTTTATTTACTAATTTTTTGGTGGTACTGGGGTTTGAACTCAGGGCCTTCTGTTTACTAGGAAGTTGCTCCTACCACTTGAGCTACACTTTCAGCTCTTTTTTGCCTTTGTTATGTTTTGAACAGGGTCTCATATTTATGCTTGGACTGATCAGGACCATGATCCTCCCTCCTCTTTACACCTCCCATGTAGCTGAAATGAGGCATGTGCACCATTACACCCAGCTTTTATTGGTTTAGATGGCATCTTGCAATTTTGTTTGCCTGGGCTTACCTCGAAGTGCAGTTCTCCCAATCTCTGCCTCGTAAGTTAAAACTTTATTTTTTAAAAATCAGTTCTTCAGGTACTGGGCATGTGGCCGACCGTGTCTTGGCTCAGCTCTTAACGGAGATGGATGGGATTGAACAGCTCAAGGATGTGACAATTTTGGCAGCTACTAATCGCCCAGATAGGATAGACAAGGTAAGAAAAAATGTATTATAAAATTAATAACTTGATTATCTGATCTTACTAGGTTTTTTTTTCAATCACTGTCTAATTAGTTCTTGATTAGATAATATTGGAGGATGAAAAAATAGGTTCACTCTGCACTAGTTATTTGCAGCAGGTTTATTACTTACAGATAGGTTGACATCTGAAACCTAGGATGCATGTTGAACCAGTCTCCCAAGGTTCAGATAGATGGAGTCTTGACTTTGTGCACTCCGCTTGCACTGCTGCTGAGGGTCCCTGGAGAGATCTGTCTTAGATTCAGTTCTGTGGGGTAACTGGAACCAGTAGACTAAAGTGTTGGAGGACATTGTTTTCTAAAAGGAGATGAACAAGTCTGGACTATTCCAGCCAGCTCCTTCCTTTCTCAGGATGTCTCACTCCCAGAACATTCTTCAGTTTTTCTTGAGAATTACAAATGAAAAATGGAGGAGACTTGGAGTGACTTGGATCACTTATAAAGGAAATGAAGAGAACAAAGACAAGTTTATGCATATGTATTTTTATTGCTTATAGTTCAGTATTAATGAAACTATTTCATGACTCATCAGCATCTTCTCCCTCATTGTTGCATGAAATTTTCAGTATGGAAATTGAAGCTTTAAGGTTTTTTTCATTGTTGTTTGTTCTATCTAATTTATTGTGCTTAAGAAAATTTCAGCATTTTCATCTGCATTAAGGTAAATTTCTGAGCCATTTCGCACTAGTTAGACACAAGTTATTTTCACCATAATAACTTCTGTCCTACCCATTGCTTTCAAAGTATTTGAATGAAGAAAACAATTCTATTTTCCTAAGATGTCATTCAGTTTAGGGAATTAAGTATTATAGGTGCAAAATAAATTCCTTTGAACTATGCTGTCACTTTTTTCCAGTCATAGTTTAATAAAGGAGTCAAATTTTAGTGCCTGTTTATTTTTAATGTCTGTATTTTTTTTACACTGGTCTGATTTAAGAGTAAAAATTCACTCTTAGAACATAAGCCAGTTCCTCCTTCCCTTTTATGTGTGTGAGCATTTGGTGCCTAATGTATATGACCTTTTGAGCTCTTCCCTCTCTCTGCATGTATGCACGTTTTCATATTTATTTTTTTTTAATGTGCTTTAAAAGGAATAATCCTTTTGAAGATATGAGAATTTTTTATGCAGGAAGAAAGCTTTTCTTTCATTCAATTAGGTGTCTTGCTGTGTGATAAAGACCCTTTGGTCAAATACAAGTAAGAAAAATTACTTTCCCATACTGCTGTTGTATTTTATTACTATGTGAATTCTGTGCATTTATAGGATCTGGGTCACTGCTAAAGAGCTCTCAAATTTGTGCAAAGGACAGGACTGTATCTTTTTTTCTGGTAATAATACACTGTGTCTTCATTTCATTGGTTTTTTGGTTACCCCCATGCTGATGAGCTGTGAAATGTCTCAAGCTTACTTATTTTCAAAGCCTCACTTAATTCTCACTTTCTTTGGTTTCCTAATGTTGAAAGTCCTCCATGTTAGATATATTTCTTGAAGTAGGATAGGATGTTCAGTAAACTTCTTTGTGCTTCTCTAAATCAAACTGAATGACTTAGCCTGGTTAGTGCTTACTTTAGGTTTTTCTGGTTTTATAATAAACATAGCAGCTGTGAAGCTGCTTCTTTACCGAAGTATTAGTTCACAGTTCTGTATATGGGCACTGCATGACTGGGTAGATTGTTTACTTAGTTTCACTAAAGGGTGAAAACATGGTGTTGGCTGGATTACATTCTCATCTGGAGTTCGTATTACTCCCCTAAACTCACATGGTTGTGGCAGAATCCACTTCCCATTGTAGGGATGAGAAATGAAGACTGAATTTGCTTACTTGTTGTCTAGACTCTACCCACATTCCTTGCCACACAGCCCCATGCAGAGACAGTAGTGGAGAATTTCTATGTCATTTTCTCCCTGTCATGCTTTTTTTTTTTTTTTTTTTTTTTGGCCACGTAAAGCCCTTTTTAAAGGCTTATCTGATCAGGTTACATTTAAGGGAAAAAAATGTTACCACCTTAAAGTTAGTTAATTCAGGACCTTAATTACATTTGTAAAAGCCCTTCACAGTAGCATCTAGATTAACATATGATTGAATACATGGACAAGTTGTATGCCCACCAGGGAACCCAAATATTGAGGCCGTTTAAATTCTGCCTACCACAATGTCCTTCAGCTTCTTCCCCCAACTCCTGCCTGATTCTGTTTTGGGCCTGAAGAGTAACTTCTTAGTTTCTACAAATAACCTTTCATAGGATTGAATGTGATGCAGCTCTTTACATATGTCCTTGCTTGGCACAATCTGCTTTTTCTCACCTATAGCATTTCTCAACCATATCTCATCCAGATGAGTCTTTCTTCAAATTATATATATAATCCTGTTTAAAGTGGAAAAGGACATAGTGCAACATGCCTGTAATCCCAGCTACATTGGAGGTAGATGCAGGAGGGTCACAGTCCCAAGCCTGTTCATGGCAAAAGCAAGACCCTACCAGAAAAATAGAGCAAAAAAGAGGTAGGGAGCATGGCTCAAGTGGTAAAGCACTTGCCTAGCAAACTCGAGGCCCTGAATTCAAACCTGAGTACTGCCAAAAAATAAAACAAAAAGGAAAAGGAGAACAAATTTAAACTCCCTTTTAAAATGATACGTATTTTGATGTTCCTTATATTCTTAACACTTTGTAAGTCTGATTTTCTGTATGAAGGAATTGTCGATTCATAATGTTTGGCTTACTTTTCCCTCTGTAAGACCTAAATTGAACCACCAACTGATGCATTAAGGTAAAATCCACTCTAGGTTTTGAGATATTTATAAGAAAAAGGCCTTCACCTATTTACAAGAAAACTACAGATTGTGGGAGTTATTTTGGAGTCACTCTTAAGAGTTTGGCCAAGTGAGTTTTTTAAGTTCATACGAGAATGAGTCAAAACTCCCAAATTAGTGGTAGGTGATTTCCATTCTCTTTAGGATACTTAGCCTGTGATACCTTGGATATCTTAGAAAACCTGATTGACCAGGTTTGGGGCAAAACATGTTTCCAAAGGTGGGAGTGAGATTAAAGGGATGAAAGTGATTCTTCTTTTTTAAATTTCAAGTGTTTTGTATTGCTTTTATATGTTTCTTACTCTAATGATATTATATTTATCTTTGGAAGGCAGATGCTGTATTTCGTTAATAACACTCCTAAGTTATAATCTTCATTAAAACATTTTGAGAACTAAAAGTTAACAGCATATGTTTCCAAAATTCTAGTCATGCTTTTTATCTTTTATAAGACATTACTTTTAATGTTCCTGTTCTAAAAACATCTAATTTCCCCCCAAAACGTATTTGAAGAATCACTATTATTACATACTGTTGATACATCTTGAGTAATAAAAGTTTCCTTCAAGAAGCTTCAGAAAGAATGGCAAATGTACACATATATTACATATGAGTATATGTACATATATACATTTACTTATAAATGTACACACTTTGATTACTTTTTAAAAATTAGAAATCCAACTACACTAACCCACCTACTCTTAGGTAAGCATATTTAAAATAAGAAACTGAAAGTGTTTGTTAATTAGATACAAAAATTTATCCTCATTAGGTAAAGATAACTCTAATTGTTTTTATTTATTTATTTTATTATGCTAAGTGGGAGTACATTGTGTCATTTGCAAAAATTCTTACAATGTATCAATCATATCATACTTGAATTCACCCTGTCCACTTCTCCTCTTTATCCAATTCATGGAATAGTTTCAATAGATATCATTATTGCATCTAATAGTTTTTATTTCACTATTCAAAAATTTCCAAATTCGTAATGTTTAGTTTGTTTTGGATGAAGTAACAAAATAGATTGTATATTGTAATAATTAATCCATTTCTATTTTAGGTAGAATATTAGATTTATGTGGAACATTATGTTTTTTCTGAACTATAGTTTTGTGACCATGCATATGACACATGCTACATCAAAATTCCATTTTACTGTCAAGTTTTTTAAAGTTTGTTAATTAAAACACCATATGAACTGGGAGCCAGTGGCTCACGCCTATAATTCTAGCTACTTGGGTGGCTGTTGTTGGTAAGATTGTGGTTTGAGGCCAGCCCAGAAAAATAGTTCTTGAGAACCCCATCTCTAAAATAACCAAAGCAAAATAAGCTAGAGATGTGGCTCAAGTCATAGGGCACCTCACATGCTTTGCAAGTGTGAAGTCCTCTTCCCCTACGAAGAAGAAACAAAAACAAAAAAAAATAGAATATATGGTAAAATAAAGTCTATTTCCTTTCCAGGTTTTCTTCTCTAAGGTCCTATTGTGCAGCATTATTTGTGTATTATTTAGCAGCACTATGAACGTTTTTGCACTTGTGTAATTAGAATATGATGTTCAAATTGTGTCATAAATGCACTGGTAACAACAACAACAGTAACAACAAAAAACAGCCTTGAGAATGTGACTGAAGCAATAGAGCACCAGCTTAGCTAGTATGAAACTCTTGAGTTCAAACCCAGGTGACACCAGAATACCCACAAATGAGAAAAAGCTTTAACACTTAAGACAATGATTTCTGTGATGGTTAAAATTGATTGCCAACTTGATTAGATTGAGAAATAATCTATAGAGGTTAGTAAAACACTCTTCTTGGATGTATCTGTGAGGGCATTTCCAGAGATGGTTAGATCACAAGGACTTCATCATAATAAATGGTTTAGTCCATTGATAGATTCAAAATTTGAATAGAATATTGAGAGGTAGTAGAGTTGTGGAAGACAGAGGAAGGGGTTACTGGAGATGTGTCCTTGAGTACTATATTTTGCCCTGGCCCCTTCCTGTTACTGTTCTACTCCACTTCCTGGCTGTTAAGAGTTGATCTGTTATGCTCCACCATACCCTCCCTGCCGTGATGTGCTGAAGCATGTGAAACTGAGAACTAAAATAAGTCCTCATCTCAGAAATTGGTAATGT